TCAAAGGATGCTTGCAGAGAAGGAGGGGGCAGGGAGAGAGGGGGCACCAGAATGGAAGCAAGTCAAGAAAAATATAAGGCGGATCACAAGGTCAGGAGATTGAGACCATCCTGGCTAACACGGTGAAACCCCGTCTCTACTAAAAAAATACAAAAAGCTACCTGGGCGTGGTGGCGGGCGCCTGTAGTCCCAGCTACTTGGGAGGCTGAGGCAGGAGAATGGCGTGAACCCGGGAGGTGGAGCTTGCAGTGAGTCGAGATCACGCCACTGCACTCCAGCCTGGGTGACAGAGAGAGATTCCGTTTCAAAAAAAAAAAATAATGAACCCGGGCACCAAGAGGGCACTGAGCTAGTTAACACTTAATAGTTAACACTTAAGCCACCTGCAGATGGCAGAGCTAAAAGAGCACCGTAACACACCCACTGAGGCTTCAGGGGTCACAGGCACCCACCCCAGATGCTACCATGGAGCCCAGAGCTCAAAAACACTCAGGCTAGCTGCTGTATCTGCCTATCTGCAAGCTCTGCCTCCCATAAGAGGTTTCAGTGTGTGGTGGTCAAACAGATGAACCACATCCCTGTCGCACGTCCTGTGAGGGGGGTCAGGGAACTCTCAGGTTTCAAATCTGATAAGGGAACAATATACAATAGACTTGGAAGAGACTGTCTTAGCTGGTGTATATCCTGGACATGTATCCTTTTCTTTTCTTTTAATTTATTTTTAATTGATTCATAACAGATGTACATAGCTTCAGGGTACATGTAATAATTTAATACATTTATATAATTTGTAAAGATCAAATCAGTGTACTTGGGATATCCATCCACCTTAAATATCTGTCTTTTCTTCATGTTAGAACCATTCCAACTCTTCTGTTTTGAAATCTACAATAGATTATTGTAAACTAAAGTCACCCTACTGATTATCTAACACTAGTGCTTATTTCTTCTATCAAACTCTATAATTTTCTTTTTTTCCCCTCAATAAATGACATTTCATGCACTGCCCTTTGATGCTTCCACTTCTGGTTCTCAGCTGTTAGAAGACCTGATGGTGTCTCATGTTCCTTCATGTCCCTCTGGATTGGATGGCGAATACTAATTAAATACAGTGGAAATGTGGGGCTGCTAAAATGTGAACCTCTGTTAGGAATATGACCATATTCTTATTATTATCTTGTTTTGTGTTGATAATTTAGTAATAAAAATAATGATTTATAGTATATTAACCATTAACAATACTCTGTTTTCTTTATTTAATTTTAAGTTCCGTGATACAGATGCAGGATGTGCAGGTTTGTTACATAGGTAACCATGTGCCATGGTGGTTTGCTGCACCTATCAACCCGTCACGTAAGCATTAAGCCCCACATGCATTAGCTATTTATTCTGATCAATAATCTGTTTTCTTAAGTACTTCATAGCAATCATCCCACCAGCCTTGCAGAATGTTTCTGGGATCTTGGGAATGTGCTCCATTTCCAGCTGGTGATGGCTGAGGATGTAACAGGGTCATCTGTGCATTTAATGAATTACCCAGGACATACCCAGCTGTTGAGTTCACATCGTCGTATTTACACAGAAGGGCCCTGATCCAGACCTCACTTTCTTTCCAGTCCCTCCTGTAACGTCCCTATGGGGTGCTACTTGTGTCAGAGGCACTGGAACCAGAGCGACTCCATCTTGAAAAGGGGCTGGGCAATAGAAGGCTGAGACCTACTGGGCTGCATTCCCTGATGATTAAGGCATTCTGAGTCACAGGATGAGATTGAAGGTCTGCACAAGATACAGGTCATAAAGACCTTGCTGATAAAACAGGTTGTAGTAAAGAAGCCGGCCAAAACCCACCAAAACCCAGATGGTGACGAGAGTGACCTCTGGCTGTCCTCACTGTTACACTTCCACCAGCACCATGACAGTTACAAATGCCATGGCAATGTCAGGAACTCTGCATGGTCTGAAGAGGGGAGGCAGGAATAATCCACCCCTTCTTTAGCATATCAAGAAATAACCATAAAAATGGGCAACCAGCAGCTCTCAGGGCTGCTCTGTCTGTGGAGTAGCCATTCCTTTCTTCCTTTACTTTCCTAATACACTTGTTTTCACTTTACAGACTTGCCCTGAATTCTTTATTGAGTGACATCCAAGAACCCTGTCTTGGGCTCTGGATCCGGACCTTTTTCCTATAACACTCTGAGAAGGGATGATTCTGATTGTCAGAAGACAAGGCTTGGGATAGAGCAGGATGCTCGTTGGAGTCTTCCCAGAGAGAGCTCCAAGACAGCTCAAATTCTGCTGCCAGCTGCCCCCGTCCAAATCCTCAGTGCCTCAGTTTACCCATATCTGTGAGGGTTAATACTGGATGTCAACTTGATCGGAGGGTTAATACTGGATGTCAACTTGATACTTTGAAGGATACAAAGTATCGATCCTGGGTGGGGCCGTGAGGGTGTTGCCAAAGGAGATTAACATTTGAGTCAGTGGACTGGAAGGGGCGGACCCACCCTCAATCCGGGCAGGCACCATCTAATCAGCTGCCACTGTGGCTAGAACATAAGCAGGCAGAAAAATGTGAAAAGAGACACTGGCCTAGTGTTCCGGCCTACATCTTTCTCCCGTGCTGGATGCTGGAACATCAGACTCCAAGTTCTTCGGTTTTGGAATCTGGACTGGCTCTCCTTGCTCCTCAGCCTGCAGACGGCCTGTTGTGGGACCTTGTGATCATGTGAGTTCATACTTAATAAACTCCTCTCTCTCTATCTATTTCTATTGCATCAGCTCTGTCCCTCTAGAGAACCCTGACTAATACACCATCTGTAAAATGACATCAGGCACGACACTCCCGTCATAGGGCTGAGGGACAATCAACTAAGTTAATCCATGCCTAGTGCATAGGAAGTGCTGGTGTCATTCAAAGAATTTAGCACAGGACACGGTGTGGTGGCTGATGCCTGTAATCTCATGATTTGGGGAGGCCAAGGCAGGAGGATCATTTGAGCTTAGAAGTTCAAGTCCAGCCTGGACAACATAGTGAGATCCCATCTCTACAAAAAGTTTTAAAAACTAGTCAGGCATGGCGGCAAATGCCTGTAGTCCCAGCTACTGTGGAGGCTGAGGTGGGAGGTTTGTTTGAACCCCTGGGGTGAAGGCTGCAGTGAGCTATGATGGAACCACTGCACTCCAGTCTAGGTGACACAGTGGGCCCCTCCCTCAAAAAAAGTTAAAACACATTAAAAAAAGAAAACATTTTATGTCATAAGTGCGTTTAATACAACTACCCTACCAAACGCCATCGCTTAGCCTTACCTGCCTTGAAAGTGCTCAGAACACTTCCATCAGCCAATGGATGGACAAATCATCTAGCACAAAGTCGACTTTGTAATGAGGTTTTGCACACCTCACATAATTTATTGAATATTGCACTGAAAGTGAAAAACAGAATGGCTGTATGGGGCCGGGCACGGTGGCGCACACTTTTAATTCCAGCGCTTTGGGAGGCCGAGGCAGGTGGATCACCTGAGGTCAGGAGTTCGAGACCAGCCTGGCCAACATGGTGAAACCTAGTGTCTACTACAAATACAAAAATTAGCTGGGTGTGGTGGGCAGGCTCCTATAATCCCAGCTACTTGAGATGCTGAGGCAGGAGAATTGCTTGAATCCAGGAGGTGGAGGTTGCAATGAGCTGAGATTGTGCCATTGCACTCCAGCCTAGACAACAGAACAACACTACATCTCAAAAAAAAAAAAAAAGAACAGTTTTATGGGTACTCAAAGTACAGTTTTAGTTTGCACTGAATGCATACCAATTTTGCACCATTGTAAAGTTGAAAAATCTTAAATTGAACCATCGTGTCAAACCATCGTAAGTTGGGAACTGTCTGTATACTGCACTTTGTAGAAGTTGATTCGCCCAGGGGGATATGTTTAACCTTTGGCTCTTACTGTGAATGATATAAACTCCTGGAAGTACTTTTCTGAGGAGGTGGGTTTACTGTTGAACATCTCCCTGTAAACAGAAACTAATGAATGCATTGCCGCATCATCCACTCACTAGGTGAGATCTGAAGACAGCACGGAATAATAAAAAATCCTCACTGCAGATCCCAGACTATGTCCACCAGGATCTATCCATCCCAGCATTGCCTCTGCCCGTAAACAGCCAACTGCAATCTTAATTACATCCAAGTCTTTAAACAGGATAAACAGGAAGTGCTGCCACAGGAACATCTGAATGATATGTTTTCATTCCTAACAGAAATACTTCTCCCTGTTAAGATTCGCCTGGGTATTCCCTTCTCTGGAATCGCCACATTAAAATGACCAAAGAAACTTACTCAATTGTTGTTCAAATCCTATTCTTTATGAATTCATTGGAGTTTCTCAAAGAGGTCCTCACACGGAACTAAAAACTCTAATCTTGGAGTCTGGGACAGCCAGCCTGCAAGTTCATGTTGAAGTTTTTGATGTAAAACTATTCAGGTGGTTTTAATTTGCAAGAATGAATGATAGTGTTTAGGAAAAGGCTTAAAAATCTGAACAAATGCAACCCTTCTGGCAAACAAATCTCTAATAATCTGCCCCATGGGATGAAGTAGTTTCAGCTCTATTTTTACCATATGGAAATGGTCAGAACTAATTTTTAAAATCAGAAAGAAATGATTGACATTCCCCACATGCCCAGTCATGCTTGAATCATGGAGTTAAATAGGTCATTTTTTAAATGCTTGGGACACACGGATCAAAACAGGAAAATAGGGTGAATATCTAAATTCTATCAGCTAACATCCTGCCCTTCTGGATCTAATTCCCAGTTTCTAAATTGGAGCACCTGTCCTCTCCCTCCCCTCCCAGCCACCCATCCCTCTTAGTCTCCTTTCTAATCCCATTGGGCAAATTATCCCCATTCACTTCATAGCAACTCCTTTGGAAGGAGTTTCTTAAAGCAAGAAGAGAAAAATCCACGCCCAGGCAGATCTCCCTCAAAGCAAAATGCCCCTTACCTCGGGCGTGCATTAGAAAACACAGGAACGCAAGACAAGGAAGTCCCCACCAGCTCTCCATAGTTTGCTTCAGGATGCAAGAACCTCAGCGGACTCCCCAGCCAAGCGGATTGTGAGATCTGGCCTCTCCACCCTCCTGTTGTTGACTTCTGGTCTCCCAGCTTGGAGGGAAGGGAAGTGATGTCTTCAAGTGGAAAATATGAACCGAACTGCCAGAAACAAATGGGCTCCAAGCTCAGATCCCAGACTCCACAGCTGAAAACCTGTGGGACCAGTGTAGGCACGCTCAGTCACGTCTGGGAGCCAGCCTCCCCGGGCTGCCCCACCAATCTGCAGCAGCGCGGAGGATGGGGACACCGGGGTGGTTCCCCAGCGCCAACGGGCAGCTCACGCTTCTGGAAGCCGGCACACTTGCTTGGCAACTCTGCTCGCTGCGGGCGTGGGAGCTGTAGCAAGTTCAAAGTCACCAACCCAGAAAGCAGAGAAGACACTGGCCGCCTGTATCTTCCTCCTGCAGTACGTGATCGTCCAGCGATACCCAGTGTGGGGCTAACGCACATGTCAGTGCGAAGACCTCAGTTGAAGTCTTGGCTTTTATACCTAACAAACTCAGCGACTTCCGAGACGGATTTATCATCCTCAGCCTTCACTTGTCTTGTAGGTGGCAGAACTAATATTTCAGCAGAGACTGTTGTTCAGGAAAAGCAGATGACACGTGACTTTTGTGGCTTTCACTTAAATCTGAGACATTTTATCTAACTACCAAAATTTACATCTTCTATTTGAAATCTCCCTGGAGAAGAAATATGACTGGATAGCTCAGTTTGATGATTAATCCCGCTTTTCCAATGGTTATTATTATATTTTTCCCTGCAGATCTGTGACTGTGTCTAATTTATCCATATACAACTCGTAGGTTAACCCTTACACTCTACCTACCCCGAAGCAGTAGGCAAGAACTTACAAAGTTAGCATTTGCAAACAGCTTTGAAGTCCTCTGGTAACTAGATTAGCTGCAGGAGAAAGGGGAAAGTCAGTCTTAGTTATGAGGGCAGCTTCTGAATTCCTGGAGAAGCAGGATTCATGGCAAACAGACCCAAAAGGAGAAATAAACCTTGGACTTTTCTCTCTGCAGACGCGAGCACTTGGAAGTGCTACATCTGTTCATGTTGTTGATCTGGTGTTTGGGATTTGTCTTCTATGTAATATCTTCTTTCTTTCCTTCCTTCCTTTCTTTTCTTTTCTTTTCTTTTTTTTTTTTTTTTTTTTTGACAGAGTCTCACTCTGTTGCCCAGGCTGGAGTGCAGTGATGTGATCTCGGCTCACTACAAACTCCGCCTCTCAGGTTCAAGCAATTCTCCTGCCTCAGTCGCCCAAGTAGCTGGGATTACGGGCACCTGACACCACGCCCGGCTAAGTTCTGTATTTTTAGTACAGACAGGGTTTCACCTGCATTGCCCAGGCTGGTCTTGAACTCCTGACCTCAAGTGATCCACCTGCCTCGGCTTCCCAAAGTGCTGGGATTACAGCCACCGTGCCTGGACTGCAACGTCTTTATAAAGGTAAGCCACTTGGATGGATTAAGTTCCTGTGCAAACAGGGGTATGTGTGTATGTGCATTTGTGTGTGCGTGTGTGTGCACGTGCGTGTGCATGTGTGTGGGCATGCATATTTGTGTATGTGCGTGCATGTGCATGTGTGCATGTGTGTGCGTGCGTGTGCACGTGCGTGCAGGTGCACGTGTGCATGTATGTGTGAGTGTGTCTGTGAGCGTGTGCATGTGTGTGCATGTGTGTGTGCACATGTGCGTGTGTGTGCATGTGTGCGCATGTGTGTGCATGTGTGTGCATGTGTGTGTACGCATATGGGGGAAATGCTCTAAGGCAGTTAGCTTGTGCAATCTCTAAACTCTGAATGGTAGAATCCAGGAAGCAGTTGATGCATTTAGAAAGATACTTCCTTCAAAGTCCCCTGACCCTAAAGAGGACTGACACTGTGACACCTGCTACAAAGTGGATGGAAGTCAAAAACCGGATGCTGAGTTACAGAAAACAGACACAGAAGAACGCATTGTGTAGGATTCCATTTCTCTGAAATGTCCAGAACAGGCAAATCTGCAGAGAGTGAAAGCGCATTGCCGGTTGCCAGGGGCTGGAAAGACATGGGAATGGGTATATTATGAGTTGCATTTTGTCCCCCCCAAACTTCATATATTGAAACCCTACCCTTCAGTACTTCAGAATGTGACTTTCTTTGGAAATAAGATCTTTGCAGATGTATTACTTTGGTGCAAAAGCAATTGCAATTTTCACCATGACTTTTGTTTGTTTGTTTTTTTGAGACAGAGGCTCACTCTGTCACCCAGGCTGGAGTGCAGTGGCTCGATCTCTGCTCACTGCAACTTCTGCCTCCTGAGTTCAAGTGATTCTCCTGCCTCAGCCTCCTGACTAGCTGGAATTACAGGCATGCACCACCACAGCCTGTTAATTTTTGCATTTTTAGTAAAGATGAGGTTTCACCATGTTGGCCAGGCTGGTCTCAAACTTCTGACCTCATAATCCACCCACTTTGGCCTCTCAAAGTGCTGAGATTACAGGCAGGAGCTAGCGTGACCAGCCCCTCGCCGTTACTTTTAAAGGCGAAAACCGCAATTACTTTTGCACTAACCTAATCATTAGTTAAGATGAGGTCATACTGGAACAGAATGGGCCCCAATGCAATATGATTGGTATTTTAAAAGAAGAGAGAAATCTGGACACCGACATGCACACAGGGAGAAGGCCTTGAGAACATGAAGTGGGAGATTGGGGTGATGCACCTATAAGCCAAGGGATATTGGCAGCAAACCGCTGGACGCAACGGGAGGGGCATGGAATCCATTCTACCTCACAGCGTCAGAAGAAATCAGCCCTGCTGGCTGGGCTCAGTGGCTCACGTCTGTAATGCCAGCACTTTGGGAGGCTGAGGTGGGCGGATCAGTAGAGACTAGAAGTTCGAGACCAGCCTGGCCAACATGGTGAAATACCATTTCTACTAAAAATACAAAAATTAGCTAGGCATGGTGGCGTGAGCCTGTAATCCCAGCTACTTGGGAAGCTGAGGCAGGAGAATCGCTTGAACCCGGGAGGCAGAGGTTGCAGTGAGCTGAGATTGTGCCACTGCACTCCAGACTAGGCAACAGAAACAGAGTGAGACTCTGTCAGAAAGAAAGAGAGAGCAAGAGAGAGAGAGAAGAAAGAAGGAAGGAAGGAAGGAAGGAAGGAAGGAAGGAAGGAAGGAAGGAAGGAGAAAAAGAAAGAGAGAAAGAAAGGAAAGAAAGAAAAAGAAAGAAAGAAAGAAAGAAAGAAAGAAAGAAAGAAAGAAAGAGAAGGAAAGAAGGAAAGAAAGAGAAAGAGGAAGGGGAAAGGGAAGGAAAGGAAAGGAAGAAAGAGGAAGGGAGGGAGGGAGGGAGGGACCCAACCTGTTTGCGCCTTGATTTCAGACCTCTATGCTCCAGAACTGTGACAGCTTAACTATCTGTTTTTCAAGCCCCCTCCCCAGTTTGAAGCATGTTTTTATGACAGTCCCCAGGAAGCCAATATAAAATACAGCTGCTAATGGGATTTCTTTTGGGGGCAGTGAAATTATCTTGGAACTAAGTAGAAGTGGTGGCCACACAACACTGTGAAAGCAGCAAGCGCCCTGAATTTTTCACTTTAAAATGGTGAATTCTCCTGTCATCCCAGCACTTTCGGAGGCTGAGGCTGGTAGACCACCTGAGGTCAGGAGTTAAGAGACCAGCCTGGCCAACATGATGAAACCCATCTCTACTAAAAATACAAAAATTAGCCAGATGTGGTGGTGACTGCCTGTAATCCCAACTACTTGGCAGGTTGAGGCACGAGAATCGCCTGAACCTGGGAAGTAGAGGTTGCAATGAGACAAGATCACACCAGCCTGGGCAACAGAGACTCCGTGTCAAAAAACAAAAACACATCCTGGCGAACCCGGTGAAACCCCGTCTCTACTAAAAAATACAAAAAACTAGCCGGGCAAGGTGGCGGGCGCCTGTAGTCCCAGCTACTCGGGAGGCTGAGGCAGGAGAATGGCGTGAACCCGGGAGGCGGAGCTTGCAGTGAGCTGAGATCCGGCCACTGCACTCCAGCCTGGGCGACAGAGCGAGACCCCGTCTCAAAAAAAAAAAAAACAAAAAACAAAAACAAAAACAAAAACAAAAAAAAAACCCAGTTAATTCTATGATTTGTGAATTTCACCTTAATTTAAAAAAAAAAATGTTTCCGAAAAGGTAGTGAGGAATTAGGTTAAATGGTTAAATTCAGGAAATCCTCTCAGATTGCAAAATAATTGCTATGATTTCCACCATGCCTACCATGTGCCAGACAGTGTTGTATTTTACATGCTTCTTAGGGCAAGAGTAGATAAGCTTTTCTGTAGGTCAGATAGTAAAGGCATTTATCTTTGCAAACCATATCGATTCTGCCGCAATATGTAACCAATGTCTGTGTGCCAAGTAGACTTTATGGACATAAAAATTTGAGTGTCACATAAGTTTCATGCATTACAAAATATTATTGTTCTTTGGAATTTTAAAAATTATTCAGACATGTAAAAACCATTCTTGGCTGGGCACCGTGACTCATGTCTGTAATTCCAGGACTTTGAGAGCCAGAGGCAGGCGGATCGTTGAGGCCAGGAGTTCGAAACCAGCCTGGCCAACATGGTGAACCCTGTCTCTACTAAAAATACAAAAAGTAGCCGGGCGTGGTGGCGCATGCCTATAGTTCCAGCTGCTCGTGACTGAGGCAGGAGAATCACTTGAACCCAGGGGGTAGAGGTTGCAGTAAGCCAAGATCACACTACTGGACTCCAGCCTGGGTGACAGAGTGGGACTCCATCTCAAAACAACAATAACGACAATAATAATAATAAAATTCTTACCTTGAAAGCTGTACAAAACCTCACTGTGGGCAGATTTGGCGCCGGGGTTCTAGTTTGCCGACATCAAAGCTGTGTGTCACGCGAGTCCTATGAAACACAGTTTTATCGCCTCTGCTTCACTAAAGTAACCACAAGGACCACGTGACCACATAGCTCATCTGCAGCCAGATGGCTGGTCGGGGCAGGCTGTGTGCCCAGTGGTAACACACGCAGGCTCCAGATCAGAGCACATTAGGGGAAAAGCACTCTACTTCCCCGCTCGAAGCCTCAACTGATCAAATGCCGGGAGCTCACAGACACGGCAGAATTTACAAAGCTGATTTTAATTTTCACATCCTCGATACGTTAAAAAGTGCAAATGTGCCTCCTTTTCAATGTTCATGGGATGCTCCTGAAAATTCACAATTGCACTACAAAGAAAGCTTTAGCAAACTGTTTTTTTTAAGTAGAAACAAGACAGAAGAGATGCTGTTGCTGTAAAATTGGAAATAAGACTAAGAATATTCTAGGCCATGCGTGATGGCTCACACCTGCAATCCCAGCACTTTAGGAGGCCGAGGCAGATGGATCACCTGAGGTCAGGAGTTTGAGACCAGCCTGGCCAACATGGTGAAACCACATTTCTACTAAAAATACAAAAATTAGCCGGGTGTGGTGGCGTGTGCCTGTAATCCCAGCTACTTGGGAGGCTGAGGCAGGAGAATCACTTGAACCGGAAAGGTGAAGGTTGTAGTGAGCTGAGATCAGGCCACTGCACTCCAGTCTGCGGGACAGAGTGAGACTCTGTCTCAAAAACAAAAAGTAATAAAAAATAAAAGAATAAACGTATTCTTATTCTGTGTCACACTAACTTCCTGACTTTGTGAGTCACCCTGGCACACATACAGACATGGATACAACAGGTCTGATATAAAATCAAGAAAAAATCAATCTATTCCTTTCTTAGGAATGTTTGTCAGGAATGGGCAGGAATTAGGTAGAAAGGTGTGTAAATGTTTCATTGTTTGTAGACACTGCCTGTGATGGTTCACACTGACTGTCAACCTGGTTGGATTGATTGACACAAAGTATTGCTCTTGGGTGTGTCTGTGAGGGTGTTGCAAAGGAGATGAATGTTTGAGTCCGCGGGCTGGGAAAGGCAGGCCCCCCCGACCCTAATCTGGGTGGACATAATCTACTCAGCTGCCATCGAGGCTAGAATATAAAGCAGGCAAAACAATGTGAAAAGAGACAC